ACTGCTAGAAATAGAGCAAATTGAGTCCACTTTAAGGGTTAGGGTTAGAGAATCCTGGGAACTGTATTTTATTGTGGCACCAGAGCTCTCCGACAGAGAAGGCTCAATGTCTCAGAAAAAAACAATTTCCATGATTCCCTAGCACTAACCCTAACCCTAAAAGTGGACTCAATTTGCACTATTTCTGGCAGTCTGCAAAAGCCCCCAGTTTGACAATTTATATGGGCCCCAGATCTCCACCCAGGTGTCCTCTTCCAGATATTGTGAAACTAGCTAGGATGCCTAGCTCTAGGATGCCTAGAGCTGCTGGGAGTTGCAATTCAACATCTGGCAGGCCACACAAGTCCCTTCACCGACCACAAATCAGCTCAGAAAAAGTTTATTGTCAAAGAACTCTCTTTCACTGAGGCCTATCCTCACATTATATACCAGAGATAAACAACCTCAGATTGTCCAATCCTCTGTGTGTGTGTGTGTGTGTGTGTGTGTGTGCATGCCTATCGACTTACGGTGACATCATTAATTTCATAAGATTTTTCTTAGATATGAATAATCAGAGGTGATTTTGCTAGTTCCTCTCCCTGAAATATAGCCTACAGCACCTGGTATTCCTTGGCGGTCTCCCATCCAAGTAGTAACCAGGGCTGACCCTGTTTAGCTTCCAGGATCAGACTAGATCAAATGCCTTTAGGGTACTTAGGCCACAGGGTCTTGAACTCCTGGGCCATAGCCCTTGCCATCTATGCTCTATGGACATGCTGGCTACTAGACCACATTTTCCTTGGAAGTTTGGAGAAGCAGCGTTACGTAGTGGTTAGAGCGCTTGACTACGACTCTGGAGACCAGGGTTCGAGTCCCCGCTCGGATATGAAACCCAGCGAGTGACCTTGGCCGAGTCACACTCTCTCAGCCTCAGGGGAAGGCAATGGCAAACCTCCTCTGAACAAAGCTTGCCAAGGAAACCCCATGATAAGTTCGCCTTTAGGTCACCATAAGTCGGAAAGGCACAAAACAACAACAACAAACTGGGTGCCAGCCACATCTGTCCGAATACATGAATCGGATAAATAAACCTTTTGTTGAAGTCAATGGGACGTCACCTCCCCCAGTAAATTTCTTTTAGAAGGCAGTGTCAATCCATTCCCTTCCAAATGATCCTTGTTACCATCTGTTCTTTTATTCAGTATTTTTTGAACAGGGGAAAGGAGTCAGTTCCATTTGGATTGGGGGGTTTTTTTAACCCTTTCGGAAAACCAGGCTAGATCCAGAAAGGAGAACCTTATCTCTGGCTGCATATACATTGCAGAAATAATGCGGTTGGACCCCACCTTAACTGGCACGGCTCAATGCAGAGGTAGCACAACAAACTACAGTTCCCAGAATTCCATACCCTTGAGCCATGCCAGTTAAAGTGGGGTCAACCCGCATTATTTCTGCAGTGCGGATGCAGCATCTGTTTGTATGAAGCTTCTTAAAGAACAAATTGTAGTCACTGGTGCATGGCCATAAAGCCAAAGTCTCCAGCCTCTTTGGGAGGAGAAGGGAGGAGGGGGCGGTTATGCTTGGAAAGAGCGAGATTGCCACTTAAAACATCACATGAAAGCCGCAGACAATTATTTAAAACAAGGCTGTTTAGGAAAATATTTGTATTTATTGCAGCTGCTCGGCTGGCCTCGTTAAAGCCGGGGAGCCTTGCAATTGCGTTACAATCTCATTTAAATCCGGCTCGGTTCCAGCAGGAAGAGGCGCCTGAATAGACCAATCACTCCGTAA